AGGGGCATGATCTCTACAGTGAAATCGCTTTATTAAGCTAAAGTTGTTTTTGTAACTATAGTGTCCCCTTAAGGTAAAAATAGATATACTTATTTTTAATATTATAGTGTTCCTATATTTATTTTCAGTTCCGCTATGCTTTGTTACAAAAAAAAAAAAGCCATTGAACTTACTGTTTAAATCATCACGTGCTAAAATAATTGACTGGCAATATGAGAGGGAGACTTGAAGTGTAGACAGTGCTACTTACACGGTCAGAATCTGCCGAACATTACCAGCACATGATTTGTCTAAGAGCAATAGAATGCCAGGAAGTGCCAGGTGAGGAGTGATACTGACTGCCTTGATCCACACATTCCTTAACGGCTCTGTGTGAATTTGTTAAAGTTACATAATATCAATGTATTAAACGTGATTGTTAATTCTATACTAAATTGCAGAAATTCATTATTTTGTAGATACACCCAATTAAAACATGCATGCATTTAATTATGCATTTTTCCATTGGGATAAAACAGCTTGCAGTAGCTGTAGATATCTTGTCTGCAGCCTTGCAATCCCTCCCCTTCTAACCCCGCCCAGACTTTCTGTGGCTGTCCAATCACAGCCTTCCCAAATGCAGCTCAATGCGAAGTCTTTACAAGGCAGGTGCTCTGAGCAATTGCTGCCTCTTGAGTTTAGTTTCACTGAGCTAAACAAACCAGGAAGTAACAAGATCGGGTGTCTGATTGACAGCCAGGGGGTGTAACAAGGTTGATGTATAAAAGTATCAATTTCAATTGAAATCTGTACGTTTTCTAAAATAAAAAAAAGAGTACACACTCTTTATAATTAAAGCACTTCATGTGTGTGAGGTGAGTGTTCCTTTAAAAATAGCGGAACATTTTTCCATATAGACTCCATATTTAGAGCATAGCTGTTATATCTGTATATGCACAAGTACAAAATCTTGACCTAATCATCTGATTGATCTCAAACTTACTGTCCAGCGCATGCATGGATATAGAGCTTGAGACTTGCTATGAAAATCCAAGACTACTGGTCCGTACATATTGAGTATTATTGGAATCTGCAAGAAAAGGAAAACAAGGATACTGGCAAAAAGAAGGAAAAAAAAAAAACTACTTCTGGAAATAGTTAAAATAATAAGTCTTCCATTAATCACTGTGAATGCAAATTATTAAACGGGCAGGAGGAAAATGTGTTTCTCCTCATGCTGAAATCACTGATTATTTTCAAATTAAATGACCAGATGTTTGAAACTTTATATCACTTTATGTCATTCCTGAACTTTATTCTAGCAAGGAGCCCTGATAGGGAGTTCATTGGAATTAACTCTCTAAGCAGAAAACCGGGGCCGGCAGGATGTTTTAAGGCTCACATAGAACATTAGAAAGGGTGAAGCTTACAAATAAAAAGCCGAACCAATGATCCGTTTAGCTTTCTCTCTTAGAATGTAGAAAGGGCGACCATTAATGGTTATAGAACCACAACTCCTATGATGCTTTATGAAATATAAGGATATTAACAGCTGGCCTGTAGGATGGCTCAATGCTGCCAGGGGTGTGAAGGATCGCCTCAGTCTCTGATACCAGGGACGTGGCATTTAGCTGAACTCATTTTAAGATGGTTCTGTCTACTTTGAGGTGATTTTGCCCACTTTAAACTAGAGTCACCCCTTCCGACGTCTGGAGTAAGAGACAGGCAGCGGAGATGTCTCTTTCTCGAGACTTACCTTGTTTCCAGGTATGACAGTTGAGCAGTTATTGTGACATTGGGATGCACTGTGCAATCTGCTAAAACAGAAACACTTCTTACAGCAAAGCATCCTGGTAGATGTAGTTCTACAATAGCAGGAGAGCTACCTGTTCACCACTCCTGTCTAGAGGCTGGGATGTGTACAATTGAGATATAAGAGTGGGTGGTGTCTTTATCTGAATTGTTCACAGATGTATTTTTGAAGTGGGTCTATTGAACCATTCAATCTGCACTTTATGAGTCATTTCTAATCCCCCCAGTTGGAAAACCAGTAGAAAAATCTGGGACAGCAGCACGTGTCCCAAATAAGGACTGCTCCAGAGGATTCGGGACACTTGTCAGTAATCTTTTCTGGATGAACCCCACTACTCTGAGAGAGCCCTGCCTTCAGACATTGCTGGGGTCGGTTCTGGGCGCCCACTATATGTGGTCAGTGGTCTAGCCAAAGGTCTGGGCAAAGTTAATAGTAGGATTGGGAGTCCGTGGGGCAGGGAGTGGGTTAATATAAAGTTGTAACAGCTGTACTTAGGGAGAGCAGATAGGAGCATATTCCCTGCTTGTCATCTGGAGAATGAGATTATGGAAACCAAACTTTTATGTCCTCGGCTTTCAGACAAGTTGTAAATACATGAAATTCTTCATCTCGCCCACACAGATTGATTACTTTCCAATCAAGAGAATCTGAGGTGTGTCACTGGCACTGCGGAAACAGAGCAGCGTCCAAAGAAAGGGAGGGGGGGAGAGGGTTAGCCACTCTGAGCATATTTCCATGTTTGTAAAAAGAATATAGATTAAATGTTATTTAGAACAAATAACCGCAAATTATAAAACACAAACATATACTGTAGGGTTGTACGAATTGGACAAAAAAAAAAAAGCCCAATTCAACCATTTGTCCAAAACCCGAATCTAATGAACTAATGAACGTATAGATCATATTCTTCCATGGGCTACTTGTCCATTCTGTCTTTATTCTTAATTCTGGTCTTTCATCTGCTTAATAAATAGCTCCCTTATTTGGTATGTATACGTCAAATCAATCGCAGAAAAGGGGCAACCAGTAGACATCATGGCAAGAGGAGAACAAAACGGAGGCACACAGATATCCTTCTTTCAGCAGTTTAGTAGATAGCTCCCTAATTTGATGTCCTTATATGGGATTACCATATTTAAAGGGACGCTATATTCACCACAGCCACTACAGATTAATGTAGTTGTTCTGATGTCTAAAGCATGCCTCTGCAGTGCTACCACTGTAAACACTGCCTTTTCAGAGAAAGGGCAGTGTTTTACATTGTTGGCTAGTAACACCTCTAGGTGCAGTCACTCAGATGTCCAGTAGAGCTGCTTTCTATTTCGGTGCTACACCGTATTCATCGTCTCCACGCTCTGCATATACAAACATGTGTTTCTAACACTATAGTGTTCCTTTAAGAATACCAAATAAATGAGTTATCTTTTACACACAGCAGCTCCCCAATTTGGCACCCATAAATATGGTAATCCTCATACGGGTACCAATTTAGGGAGTTGTCCGTAAACAGCTGACAGATTAAGTTCATTACGTAATTTAAAAAAAAAAAAAAAGAAATTGACCGAAAATATTAGGCAAATTCCTCCCTACCAAATCGTCAGTTAAGAACTGACATTTATTATCGTCCAAAACAATTGGGAAGAAACAAATTTGTTAAAAGCGTGCACAAGTCTAATGTAATGCCATGCAGCGTGGGTGATGCTAGCGTGGCCGCTTGTGATACAGTCCCACATGTACACACAGACACAAAGTCCTGCGGATGGATAGTTTCAGAGTGGTACGTGCTGGTGATATATCCCTCTATTCCTTGGCGTGTTTGAGTCAAGGTTGTCAGATTTACATGTTTCACAGTATGCCTAGATATTTTGTATCTCGTCAGCAGTAGTTGTAAAGAGATATCTGGGATTATAAAGATTGAATGTGAGAAATCAACCAATTAATCACGGCCAGGATCTCAGAAGAGTCCACCATGATTAATTATTTGGTTTCATGGGAGTCTGTGGATTAGATTTGCCGCTGGGCAGCACTTTCAACACCTTCTCGAATGAATACAGAATGTACGAGGGTCCCGCAAAACCATGGCGATCTGGCAACCCTAAAGAATGTGTGTATACTGATCAGTGACGGGTTGTTTGCCTGCTCTCTCTTCTGTTATAATGAGGACAATGATTCCATATTACATCGTCCTCTAACTGCAATGCAGCACGAGAGATCTGCGCTGCCCTGGGTTCAGATCTCCAGGTCTGCTCGCTGAACCTCCTGCTAATAGTTGTCTCTCAAAAAAAACCTGTCTTAGTGTTATCCCTTGTTCAGTCTATCTTTTCCTGAAATTTCCAGATTTTATTTATTTTATTTGATGTTCTTCAGCCGTGTTACAAGTGTATTTTTCTATTCTAATTGTTTAATGAGATTTGTGAAGGATTGTAATCCTTGAGTATACGAAATAAGATGATACAGTGTGAAAAGCACCTGGCAGAGAATTATGGGAACTGCGTATCAGTTGGAGAGATGCAATGGCCTATTTGAGTGAGCGAAAGCCAAGATCTGTTGTCGTGGATTAGAACCCTTTAGCTAACAGAGTTCTGCATGTCTGAGAAAATAATGAACTGGGAGCACCATGCTCACACACAGCAATTATAGGGTTAAAGCTAATATTCTACATCAAAAAATCGAAACACATAGAATGTCTCAGATGTTTGTTAGAAGTTTGTTACAGACGTTAATAAAATGGTTTATATTGCATTTAATGTATCAGAATCTTTATTCACATTGCCTATATAGCAAACAATTTAAACAAACACCTGTCTGGGCGTCCTCTCTTAGAAGCCCACCTCTCCGGAGTTTCGTATTAGTTAAAGTGAGTGAATAAAATAATGAATTAAGCAAACAGTATATGGTTATGGTTTGTTGTATTTGTTTTTGTTATGAATCTTGTTTTCTGGTATCTGTGTAGTAATAACTTGAATATACTACTGTATGTGTTATTATTCTATAAACAAATTAAAAGGAATCAGAACGTTCAGATTTAATGTAAAGTTGTGTTTTAAAGACAGTTATTGAAAAGTTTTGATCAGGAGACTTGATAAATTTATCTCAACATGT